AAATATAAATTTAATTAGAACTGTCGTAAACTAATTAACTCGGTAATTAATTCAAACGAAACACAATATCACAAACTAATCACAAACTAATAACAAATTAATTTTAAAAAAATTAACCAACCAACAGATCTAAAAAATCTTAAAAAATAATCAACAAAATTTGACTAAAGTATGTAAAAAAATTACATAATTTTAAAATTAAGTTAAAACAAGCAAATAACTAAATTAACCTAATAATCAGCATAAATAAATAAATAAATAAAAATAATAATCAAAGATTAAATAATTAAATTTTAACTTGACAATTAAAAATTAACATAATTAAATTTTTTTAGCTTTACATTAACCTAAAAATTAACCTAAGAATTAACATAAATAAAAAATAAAATTTAACAAAATTAATCTAAGAGTTATGAAATTAAATAACAATTAAAAAATTTACACTAATACATACAACTTAATATAACTAAAAATTAACATAAAAAGAAAATTAACAACATACACATAATTAATCAACTAACAAATAACAAAATTTATGTAAAAATTTATAATATTTATTTAACATAAAAAACATAAGAGTTAGAGAGAAAAAGTTTTACCCGAGAGATCAAGGAGAGAGAGCACGGATCTATTCTAATTTTGAAAGAGAAAGATGTACTTCACTTTGTTGAATGGTTTGGGAAGTCTCTTAGTGGCATTGGGGTGGTGTGAGCGAGTGGTTTTGTGGCCGGCATGGAAAATTTTGGTGGAGTGAAGGAGAAGCCGAATGAGGGAAGAAGAAGGGGGAAGGGGTATATTTGGGGAAATTAGCAACAAAAGCGAATCCGTTTAATTTTGGGAATTTTAAGGGAAAAATTCCCTACAAAATCCATGAAAATTAGCGATGGATTGTAGTCCATCTTTAATTATGGGTTTTCGAGGGGAAATTTCCCTTCAAAACTCGTCAAAATTAGCGATTGACCTCTTGGGGGAGAATTCCAAGGCCAATAGCTAAAATTAGCAACGAATTGGGAATCTATCTCTAATTTGGCTAGGGAAGTAGCGACAGATTCCCAATCCATCGCTAATTTACATCCAAAATAATTTAGCGATGGAAATTGGTCGCTATTCCATCATTGAACCTGTCACTTTTGTTTTTCCTACGTTAGTTTGTGACAACTTAGAGATAGAATTTAATCGGTAGCTGATTTTCCTTCGGTATGCCGTCGCTAATCGGTCGTAAAAATCAACTTTTTATCGTCAATTGCTAATCCATTGTTAATTCGTCTTTAATTAGAGACGGAATGTTATCCGTTGCTAATTGTTAATTTCTTATGGTGATTCTAAGCCCATTGATTACAAAAAAAAAAAAAAAAAGGACTCGCAAATTGAACAAAACCTACTCAACAAACCTTGCAAATTGAATAAAACTCGGTTAACATAAACCTAAATTCATCAATTGTGGAAAATGAATTTACAAATTAAACAAAATAAGCACAACCATGCAAATTTAACCTAACTAAATCGTACATCATAAGTCCCAAAAACATCATATTATTATCCATACATCCTATTTAACTAGCAACAAGCATACCAACATCACAACTAATATAATTAGACAACAAAAACAATTGTTACATCTAAAATTTTTCGTCTTATCTTTGTCTTCATTACCAAGGATAATCTTCTTTCTCAAGACTCGATTTTCTCTAGACAAATATGCTCATTCTTTATAGCTAGCTTTTTTATTTTTATTTTTTTTAAAGTATAATTCAAAGTATTAATGAATTATGTTGCTCTTTCTTTAATTATAGGATCTTGAAATTGAAAATAATTATAGTTTTTCTTACCATCTTTTTCGTTGAATTTAGAGCATGAAAATCCATAAAGTGAGTTGAAGAGCTTGGAGTCTATAATTGCAATACATCATTAGGGATTCATCAAGATAATTGTTCTGGAATTTTTGAATGAATAATGAAAATATGTTTTCCAAATCTAAAGGTTAACACTTAATGATGCGAAGAAGAAGAATAGAAAAAAAAAAAAAAAGAATGGAAAGCATGGATACCTAGAACTCTAAATCAACATCTCACAATCACTATTAAATTAGGGTGAAAAAAATGATACTCTCTCTCTCTTTCTTTTTGGCGAGGTCTATTAATTCAAAACATAATTTGAAAATCATATTTCGACTTGAACGTTTTCGGGATGCTCTTAATAACCAACGAATGGCAAGTGTTTTTCCTTTTGCGGATCCTATTTCAATGGGAACTTGATGAGTCAATCTACCTACATGTCTTGCTTTTATAGTTATATCAAGAGTTACTCCATATATTGTTTGATGTAAAGCATATATTCTATTACCTTCTTTAATAATAGCTAAAAACATCATCTCGTATACTATTATTTCAAATTCCCGAATGGTCTAAGATCCAAGTGATTTGTTTCTTTCAATTCAATATTATTTTTATTTATTACTATTAACAAATCACATATAAACATAAGAAATTACAAGATCACCGACAATTAAAAGGTTAAATCCACTCTTATGAATCATTAAATCCTATAAATGATTGCTCTCTCTTTAGTTCAATTTAGTCTTCCGTATTAACTATTATTACATATATAAATTCAATTTTTTTTTTTTAAAAAAAACTAAACTATTTAAATGACGTTATTTAAGCATTCCTATTAACAATCAAATGGTTGATCGTCGAAGATAATAGAAGTAAGATAATATTTGCTTAAAAAAATTATAATTTGGAATCTAATTGACTCAAATTAGTAATAAAAGTCTTAAATTACCAAAACCCATTAGTTTAGAGATAAGTTTTGTTATTAAACCATTATTTCATTGCAAGCCATATATTTGATGACCACGATGAAATAGCTAACCTCCTTTGCAAAACTAATTGGTTTTACCAGGTACACATCGGCTACTACAACGAACAACCATAATTATTGGACCATAGAATCCATCACTCATGTATGTATGGCTTTTAATAAACCTTTCCTCTTTCTCGCGAGGAAGAAAAAACTTACAAATAATAATTGTCGAAAAAGTAAGTTCTCCTTCTGCTTGCTATAAAGATCAGCGCATGCAAAAGCATATTATGTGAGCAAATAATCATATGGTCCATCAATTTTATTGCATTACTGCATAAAATAATTGGCCGCTTCTCATACTGCTTATAAAGAACTCAGCTTATTTGCACATACGCTATCCGATTTTTATTGACTAAATTATAATAAATTGACAACAAAATTTTTTTTTTGTTTTTTTCTGCAGCAGTATCGGCAACACAAATATGCCCATGAATATAATATTTCTTGCCACATAAAAGAAGTAGAACTAAAGCATGATGGAGAAATTGAAACATCCCTAATAATAATCTAATTGAGAAATGAAGTTCTTCTCTATTTAAAGTTCTATTGCTCCTCTAGCAGTTTAACGGCAACGTCAATTATTGGAGTTGCTATAAAGAAGAAGACAAATTTGTTTCTTAGCCATATGTTGAGGCATAATAATGATGATAAATAAAATGTGGCCTTTGTTGGTCACATTGGAAAAATTTACAAATTCTTGTATAGAATAGAAGCTCTCAACGCCGGTCCTCATGGAATCTTGGACCACTATTCTTTAGATGAACCTGTCCCAATTTGTTGCCAAAGTGCTATTTTCAATCACCATCTTCCTTATTTCTACTGTAATGATTATCCAAGACTTTTTTAAATCAATGTACTTCAAATCCCAGGCTCACCCATACTATTCAGTGAGGTGGTTTGGCTCAAATCCACTAACACCTGAGCATTTGTGGATAACTTGTAACAAATTAACAAAGTGCAAATTTTTAACCTACCACATAAAAACAACACCACCATTCTTATTGTACAACTGGAGAAAAAAGAAAACGAGAGCCAATTAATTCAATTTCATGACACAGTTCCCCACCCACCGCCCCTCTCTTCTCGCGCAGCCCATCCCATATCATTCCCTACTCGCTGAAATTGATTCACAAACTCATCCAATCATTCAACGAATTATAAGCTGTAAACAGAGACAAAACTGACAGAAAGTTTGATTTCCTCCTCTAACAAAGCAGAGACCCAGAAATTTTAGGGTTTGAAAGCTAAAAAATTCGAAACAAATGAGAGAGACAAAGTGTTCAAATTTCTTTTGATTTTTATTTGAGTATTTTGGTAATTCTAAATACTGCAATTTTAAAATTTAAGTAGTTTTGAATTTCAAATTTTAGTGCGGCTAAGGACCTCTTCATTAAAACGGACGCACAATGAACTTGGAATGCATAAAGATACGCCATGTGGACGACACATCATTATGTGTGTGCAACAACAGCAGACATTGTAGCATTGAGTCACCGCCCAATCTGAAAAATCAAATATTATTGCCAGACGAAGAGAGTTGGGCAGCAGTTAGCTGATAGATGACACATGAATCAAGAACCCACTTTCATTTAGGATTACAAGTGGGTTGCCTGCCTGAATATGACAATACCTATCTTATACATGATAATTTTTTATTTTTTATTTTATTATTATTATTATTATTTTAGTGATGAGCATTGAGGCATTGATCCATCGTCTTCTAGTTTTCTGAATATGACATTTTGGCGGTTGTAGATCATGTTCATATATAGGAATCAAACACATAATCACATTGTCTTACTATACTATACATATATGTTAAATGGGAGGATTAAACAACGAACACAAAGTTTTAATAAATAGCTGTGATTAGTTAGCTATGAATTCAGGCCTTTTCCATCCCTTTCTTAATTTGTTGAAATATGTACTGCAGATTCCTTAAACAAAGGTGGCTGGAAATTTCAAATCAATCCAGAATCAATTGACATCAGCATTCAGAATAAACCAGACAACTTGTATTAGAAATTAGACTACATACATTTATTTAATCCTAATTAAAAATGAAACAGGAGAGAAAAGCTAGTGTAAAAACACTCAACAAGAAAATTAATTACACTTGCGATCGCATGGTTATGTCATAGCAAATTAATGTGCTTGAGAATTTCCGGGATGACAATGTCTGGGGAGCTCAACTGCGGCGGGTGACCACCCACCGGCATGACCTCAACAATGGATCGCCCACCGAGATTTTGGTGAAGGTATTCACAGACCGTAAGTGGAACAGCCATGTCCTTGATGCTTTGCAGAATGTGACTAGGGACCCTGACTCATGTCAGCTAGGAAAATGAGATGGGCTAAGCTCAAGGCTATACCAGGTCGCATGTTTAACAAGGTTCGACTGAAGTCCGGCACAACCACTGAGTCCATATCACCACCCACCACTAGCGGAGCAAACCCTGAGCACCAAGCTTTGTCATTGGACCTCACTCCTTCGAATATTTGGTCTAGATCTTCTTGCTCGAACCCTCCATACTAGCCCACATCATTCAATAGCCTATGGAAATGCAAATCAGCGAGAGCAGAAGAACAAACCCTAATGGACACCAATTGTTTGAACACATGAAACTTTTGCTGAAAATTAAGCAACAAATTTGAATGTTCCAAACATTTTATGGGGTTGAATTTTGTTGTACAAATCAAATGAAAAGAAGTACTTAAAATAAAATAAAAGGTGGCGTTTACTAACGAAAAAAATTGATAGGTTGCTTTAAAGAGTGAAGATAGCTGTCGCTTATAAGTATATAATAAGGTTTTACCTTACAAGTTATCAAAGATTCATAAAATAATAATAATAAATAAATAAATAAAATAAATAGTCATCATCAAGAACTATAGAGACACAAAGAGAAGGCCATAAACGTTTACCTAGGAGTAGCACTAAGCATGATGATTTTGGAGAAGAGGTCAGCGCGAGTAATAGAGGCAATGGCCCCAATCATGCCAGAAAAAGAGTGACCAACACAAATACATGATTTTACTTGTGGTTCTTCTAATATGGCAAGTAAATCACAAACATATCCTTCAACAGTTGAATATCTTTCAAAGTCAAAAATAATCTGGATTAGTGGTACCAGCACTTATATTATCACACAGAACAACACAGTAACTATCGAAAAGGTGTGGCACCAGTACTTCCAAACCGATTGATCCGTGCCAAAGCCATGGCCTAGGACTATTCCCGAACCCAAAACCTTCACGTTATGAGCTTCTTGCACTATCCCCATTATTTACTTCCCATACAGGTTCGTTCTCTAAGTACTGCTTATTGTACTATTTATTTTGCTTCTACCTCATGAATAAATCTTATGGAACGCCGTTCAAGAACTACATGAAGAGGTATGGTCTGTCAGCTATACAGACATCATGGGACTTCGTCCAAGAATCACATGAAGTGGTTCGGCATTTGACAGACTCTGGTCACAGTGACTTTTTCCACCTACAAAAACAAAAAAATTTTACTTCTTGTCTTGGAAAGTGGCACGTTGTCCAACTTTACCAGATGACCAAGTACTTTATCTCAATCGTATGACATTTAACAAATTTTAACTTGTAAACCAAATCTAAACCTCATTTTGTATCAGCAAATATATAAAATAAACCCCATGAATCATCTCCTGCAGATACACCAAGTAATGTTTTAGTTCATAGGTAATCTTAAATACATTAAATCTATTCATCCATCCATAAAAGGATAGACTGTTAGACACATATCTATTAACGTTAATTTTTTCAGTTGATGAAGTATCTGGTCCGCCATTAAGTAAACAACATCTTATAGTCTACCTCATAGAAGATACAATTGGAAAAAAGAAGAGAAAAAGTTTGGGCAAAAGTTACAAATGACATAGGCTATATATATACATGTGACACTTACTGTAAACTATAGGAAGAGAATATTATGTCGAATTGAGATCCCACGCTTTCAATTGCACGTCATCTTTCAATTCCCTAAGCTTTATTAAACATCTCGGAAAAAAAAAAATCAGAAAAGAAGAAAAAGGAAAGAGCTCTGAAATCAATCTACCATATACTATTCTATGAATAAGGTCAAAACCAGACTAACAAGCCAGCAGCAGCTTCAATTTGGCATCCGCGCACGTAAACACATGTTCAACCTTGTCCTACCATCATTATTTCAGAGCTCCATACCGAACTCTCAAATGGATGTACTGTGTAATTCGTTTTCTATTCACAAGATAACAGGTGCTAAAGACTAGTATTTTGTTCAGAGAGCAGCATTTGAAGCTAGTCTTGGGCTTCATCTGCGTTCGATGAGAAGATATCAACAGGGGAGCTTGTGCAGTCAACAAGAGTGTGAGCCAATCTGCCTTTTGAAAAACCTAGTGGATGATCTAGATACACCACAATGACAGTGATATCATCGTGGAAATGGCGTCTCCTCCCTCTTTCAATTTTTTTTATGTCACCATATCTCGTTTCTCTTTTCCTTGCAGCCTCCCGCATGGCAGCTCTCACCAGCCGCTTTGCTATTCCCTGTAAAGAAAGCATGTACTCATTTTCAGCACAAACAGTAACATCATTTTGTTACAGTGCTTCATTAATTATAGTTTGAGCCAATTTACATGCCAAAAAGTGAAACAAGTCATCAAAATTAAGTGCACAGCGACAAATTCTAATGAAGGGAAAGTTTGCAGAAACAAATAATAATGGGAACCTTACAAGTCGGGGGTTTCTCAGAACTATATCGACAGCTGTTTCATCACTCATTTGCTCCCAGAGACCATCTGATGCAAAGATCAAGAACAAGTCTTGTGGCTTTAACTTTCTTGTCAATATTGAAGGTTCTGCCGTCATTACGGGCCGTGTTAAAGGAACAGGAAATCCAAATTGATGAAAATGAGGATTCCTATTGAACTCAGGTTTCTTTAAATAGACGTCTCCTATTGATCTTGAAACCTGCAGTAGAGAAGTTGTAAATAAACCTAGTGCATCACTTGCTCTAGATTGTCCCCAGAAAATTTAACAAGTAGCCAATATCAATTAACAACACTGCATCTGCTTAAAGTTCATAAAAAGGTCTAGAAGCCACAGAACTTGTATTACAGCTCCAAGATACAAAAATAAGCGCAGATGCCTGTTGTGAGGATCAGACACAATCAACAAATGTCCAGTTCGCCTATGTTATGGCTATCTATTGTTAAAACACAGAACTTTATATATTGAAGCACGCATCTCATGGATCATTCTTCACATTACTCCTATCTAAGAAAAGATAGCCAGCAAGTAACTACGTGGAGGAGAAAGTTTTAACCTTTTTCCATATGAGAAACACAATGTGACTCATAAAGATAAGTTATGGAAGTTCAGACAAGGATTTTAAAACTTCTGTTTAACATTTCATAAATAACTACCAGGACAAACTTTCAGCATAGCCATGCGACTACCACAAAATAAAACCGTAATAGTACAAAAGAAAGAAATGAGAAAAGATCATTAAGAAATATGAAGGAGCGTCTGCACTTTTTGCAAGAGGAGGAACCAAAGATACACCATGTAAATCTAATAATCTTTCAGTAATTTACCAATCTACTGACTGCACAAGCCTGATTCTGAACGTAGTTGAAAAATGAAACACATCACTAGCTATAAACTCCATTGATACACACAGAGGAAATTTTAAGCTAAAGCACAATTGTTAAGTATAGACTGACAGAGGAATCATACAAGATACAGAAGAATCAGTTTCATGGTCCTAGCATTCAGGGTCCAAAGAACTTGTCTCTTGTATGTAGTACAAGCATGCTGATTAGACATTAAACTCATCATGAACGAGAAATTAATGACAGAAAGCAAACTTAAGACTGTGACTGTCAAACATCAGCATTCAAAGGCATTTTATATGGCTGCAGGATCAAATACTGACAAAATATTAAGATAAAAGCTGCACATAAAAAAACTAAACAGTTATGTACAGATTCATTAAATTTTTAGTCTAAGCGTCCCTTCATCCTAACAAGTTTATGGAATCACTTATGCTGGACCAAGTTCTATTCGATTAATGCAAACCAATAGAATTTCTTTCGACATCCACTATGATGCAAAAATACTACAAAACTTTATACCTGAATTATGCCCTTTATCCGCCAAACTCCGTGAGTATAAACCACAATATGTGCATCGTCAGGATGAAGTGCCTCCACCTCCTTCCTCACTTCCTCAACCCCGACATTATGATCAGTAGTTAACCTTTCTGCCACCACTGCACTATTTTCGTTGCCTTCAGACACTTTTCTACCGAGCACTACTCTTGAGTCCCCGAGATTTGCCACATATAAAACATCATTTGATATTGCCCCAACAAGGCAGCAAGAACCCACAGAGGCCATCTGAGGCCGAGCAGTCCATGATTGCTTCACAAAATGTAAGAATTCTTCTTCTGTTGCATCAAATGCCTTCCTTATCGCATCTGCTGACAGTCCTCCTTGTTCTGTTGCAAACTCTGATAGGAAAATCATTGAACCAAGAATAACAAGATTAAAGAAATGAAACATACTAAAACATTGTCTTAGTGAGTAACTATATTGTTTTGATTTCACCAACATGGAATCGTCTACAATAACGATGACCCAAAAGCATAAGGTCTTACATTTCATTGTTCACATTTCCCATTTTCTTTTCTTTTCATTTCTTTTCCTGCACCTTCTCGGAAACCAAACTAAGCAAAATTAAGCAACGGAAACTAAAGAAGCTAAAACCTTGGTCTATTTTCTTTTATTAATTTTTCTAGTTCAAATTCCAAAAAAAAAAAAAAAAAAAAATGCAACACAGGCCAAAGCAGAACCCAAGCTCCACCCAACTCATTCATAAATAAATAAATTAAGCAAACGGTAAACACTACGAAAAATTAAGATCACAAAACCCTTCATTTTCTTCTACTCTCCCAAACTTTTCCATGAACCAAACAAGGTCTATAAGTCAAAAGAAAAGAAAAGGAAAGAAGTACTCACTGTGGAGAAAAGGGAACAAATGATGAGTGAGAAAGCGAGAAGCCTCAGGGCCACCATGACCATCATAAACACCAACATATGTAGCAGAAGGAGAAGTGAACACCTGTCCCTGATCCTCAAGCAAGGAGTTAGCTTGCACCGCAGCCATTGAATAATCTCCAGAAGCATAAGGTTTCAAGTCGACATGCCACAGTAACTTATCTCTACTACCCCCACCTCCAAAATACCTCTCTAATGGCCTTGTACACATCTCCAACAAAGTACCCTTTTAATGAAAATCTCTATCTTTGTCTCTGTGTATTTGATTTATGATTCAGTCAATAAGTTAGGTACATAAACTGAAGACAGAGAAGTGGAGAGGAGTAGGATGTTGGGAGTTGAGGACGGTTGGAATGTGAGAATGGTTCAAAGTAAACGTTTGGGAAAGTATGTTTACGTGTTTTTTCTTTAGTTGACGTGGACTAAAAAAAACTTACTTTCTGCTTTTGTCACATTAGAAACCAAATCTCAAACAAATGTCTGTTTTTCAGATGGTAAAAGTATCCACAAGTGAGCTCGCACGTCAACTGAGTCCTTTTTTCTTTTTAGCGGACATGTAACTCAGCGGCACTACGCACCTTACTCTATTCTTATGACAAATGATACGATGAGTACATTTTATGGAGCCATTTGTTTTTTTTTTTTGCCGTTAATCTTTTATTTTAACACCAAAAAGTGTATAAGTATTGGTAATATGCAAAATAATAATAATAATAATAATTCACTATTTTTGTTAGTTTTTTAGGGTAATTTTAAACTTTGAACAACTTAATTGAAATTACATATATAGTTGAGGGAGTGATTTGTAGTTCTCCATATATTTTTATGTTCACCTTGCTTCTCTAATGGACGGGAAATATTTGCCTTTATTTGTTCCAACCGCTGGACATTTTTGTCTGCGTATCATTTCAACATTAAAAAAAATATTCATTTTCCATTGAAATCAGCATAGACATATACGTTAACCAGACCTTCTACCCACCGCGAATAAACATATTTTTGTTTGAACTTGAACAAAAGTCAAAAAGTCAGTCCTTCTTAAGAGTCGTGGCTAGTACTTGTCAATGGAGACGTGCTGCACCCTTTTTCTTCCCTCCAGAGGTTTTACCAAGTATTTGATGGAGATGGGTTTTGTTTTCACTTCCGTGATCGTCCCACGTTAAACGTATTTCACCTGATGCGATTCGAATGGAATCATAATAAATATTTAATTTATTTAATAAAATAAATTGAATCAAATCTTATAAATTTTGATTGATTAATGAAAATATGGAATTAGATTCAGATTCTAACAGACTCAAATAGAATCCGAAACTTTATTGGATTTATCACTTAATTTTATAAAAAATTTATAATTACTATATTTCGTATATTATTCGAATATAAAATATATTTCAATATTACATGTATAATTAAATATATTAATATAATATTTTATTTATCGATTTTGTAAAAAATTTAAAATGCCACATAATTCAAAATTACAAAATCAAATAATCTTAATAAAATTTTATCTTGAATTAGGTAGAAAGTATAATAAAACAAAAAAAAAGATAAATAATAAATAATCTTTATTTATTGTTCATGTGGTAGTAAAAGTAGAGTGATGACAAATGTAATAACACAAAGTCTTGAAAATGTATAAGTCAATTTATAATTTTTTTTTCACTAAATTGAATTAAAAAAATAATAAGAAATTTATATATGATTTTTTTTTTGAAATACGATCATCATTATTGATGAATATGCGTTATTTGAACTTTTATAATAAATAAACTCTAATTTTCAATTGGATTTCATATTTATATATTCTTTCATATTTAAATTTTTACTATTTTAAAAAATATTATATTTATTATAAAAATATTATTTATAATTTTGGGTTGGATTATTACTAGATCGGATCAAGATATATTCGGATTTGATCTATTTAATAAATGAGTTAACGATTTAGATCATAATCGAATTCGGATAAAAAAATTATTTATCTATTCTATTTAATTATATCGGATTCGAGTTAAGATCCAATTCATTTACAGCCCCAATTATGACTAATTAATTTTCTTTAAACATTTCCATTGATTGGTTATATTGGTAAATAAAAAGGTTGAAGATATTCCAGATTGAAACCGTTTAAATTATTCAAGATTTTTCCACTTGAATTACAAGGTTTGTTGTCCATGAGGACCAACAAAATGAATCAATCAGATTCCCCAAGTGGCAGCCACGTTCTAAATCCTTAGGGCTTTGATAGTGTCTTAGAGAAAACAAATAAAAAAAGATGGGGGAGAGTTTTCCTTTTTCTGACTTTTCGTAGAAAGATGTAAAGAATTAATTTTCCACTTAAATTATGTTGTTTATATTTATTAGAAAGCCATATATTTATTTAAACTCTGTTCGATAAGAGCCCTGGTAAAGTTAATCTAATAAGATTAAACTCAATCACTTTTCGAATGCCCATACAGACATTTATCTACATCTCCCACTTGTATATGATGGACATTCATAGTCATAGCCTCATTCGTATAATAAAGCATCTCTTTTGTTCTCCTTTCATATAAAAAACGGAATAAGAGACCAAATGAGAAAGGTACTCACCAATGTTATATCAAGCCACCATCAAAACTAACATAACACTGCATCTCGATTTCATACTCATAGCCTCATGCACAACTCTAATAATTATCTACATCTCTCACTTGTACATGACGAGCATTTATAGTCATTGCCTTATCCTTATAATAAGACATCTTTATTGTTCTCCTCTACATATAAGAAATTGAATAGGAGACTAAATGAGAAACGTATAGGCGAATAATGTTATATTAAGCCACTATTAAAACTAACATAACACTATAACTCAATATCTTATTTATACCCCAAATTAAATAATCACTCTAAATCAAACATCTATGATGATGCCATAACAATATGATGCCTCAAAATCTTATGCAAGTTCAACCAACAATCACAACATAGAATCTTTAATAGACTATTTTATCTCAATAAAAACAACAATATTGCTACGAGTCCATAAATAATCAAATCCCCACTCAATCATAAACACAAAATAGATTTATCAAATAAATAACTCGATCAACTATAGTACAGTTCAAGTGTTTGGTAGGTTATCCTTATCCAAATAAGTTGAAAATTAAAGGAAATGAGCCAAGATTCTCGATCATGGAGGCCCAAAGCATTCAACCATGGTGAAGGAGGAGGCATTCATGTGTCATACTTTCCCGATTAGAGAAGAATTGACCTTAACATCTTGGTCTTCATCCTCTTCATCAATATAAGGATATAGACCAACCTTCTTGAATACGGTTGAAACCAAGTAAGCTTAATGTAGGTTAACCTTATACAAATTCTCCCCTATCCTTTTTACAATTTTGAATAGGCCTTTGATCTCCTTGGTCTTGAAAAATATATTATTGGATACTTTTTTTTCTTCATGTTCACCCACACCAAGCCTCCCTAATGGTAAGTTACTTTAGAGAAAAACTTAGAGACTTTAACTTACAGTTTCTTAATGATAGCTGCAACATTCTTGATGCTAGTCTCTTCCTTGGCAATTTTCACATAATTCTCAAGTTTTTTCTCCCCTTATCATACTCAAACCTCTCGATAACAATAATCCTTAGACTACTTTTGTTAGTTTTGAAAGCGACTACGAAATCTAGTTGCATAGTCACAACAACAACATGTCCTCTATCATCCCCCATAATACTTATATAATTTTTAGCGAGTAATCATTTCTCCTACGGTAGCCAATCCCATTCTACAATCTAATAGCATTTTGCCATTCTTCTCCACTTTCATGATGAATAATATATTTCTTTCCATTCAAATCAATACTAATCACATAAGAAAGATTAAGCTCATCATCATCATACACATCATACTTAGGCTCATCAATTAAAACATCATAATTCCTAGTTTTAGTATGCAAATCATATTTAGTAATAGTCATAACATCAATTAAAGTATTAGAAGAACTACTAAAATCTTTATAGATCACTAATTCATTAGAGAAATTAACACAACCGAGTAAGTGACCTCGAGGCATAGGTCTTCTTACTTGTTTCTTAGTCATTGGTTTTAGAACATACACGTTACCGAGTATAATAATACATAACTACTTGTAAAACCATTATAGATGACATATCGATCGAACTAGTAAGACCTCCCCAAAAGAATATCATATATGGTTATGGGTAGAACCTCATACAAAGCCTAATCATTATATCACACATTCGGACTAATGTTCACTTCAAATCGATGAGTTACCATTATTCCTTCACCCTTGTTAATCCATCTTACTTGAGAAGGTATAGGATGTTTAGTTAATGTCTTGCCCGTGTATTCCATTTAAGACTAACTTATTATATTCTTGCTCAAGCCACTATATATCTAATCAATAGATTATGCCTATCATCCATTCGAGTATTATGTACGAAAGTCCTCCTCCATTTGGCATCGATATCAATTACCCTATCTTTCATATAGGATTGTATGACAAGATCATATTATCTTATTTACCAAAATTCTTTCACTTATCGGTAAAGACTTGACTCTCATCTTAGCTTTCTATGTCATCCTCCTCATAGTTAACATACCGAGTTAAAATTAGCACTTTTTGGTTAGGCTATTCGGAGACAATTAAAGGATCATGCATCCTATAAAAGTGTTGAATAAAACAAAAATTTCTCCATCTAAAAGACCCAAGATCATGCCATTGAATCAACTAACTATATTTGTATTAATTAAAGCATAAATAAAGGATTACCTCTTGTAGTGCGATTTAACCTTAGCAAAAAAGGAATCGTCCAAGCTTTCAACTTCGTATTGATAATGCATGTAGTCCAAGCACCCACATAAGAAGCACTCAAAATTGATAGAGTGCTAGTTTTACCTTTTCTAACTTGTTTAGTGTTTTTACTTTAGAAATCAGTTCAGGAATTTTTATGACAACCCTAAGAGAGAGAGAGAAGAGAGGTGGCATGGGTTTGTAGGAAGGGATAAAACTATTTTCTCCTTTTCCTAATAAGTCATGTAGCCCTTTTTTTCTCACTTTGTGTCATTTGTCTCTTGCTCTAAAATTGTTTACCTTTGCCTCACCTCTCTTTCATATTTATAGGGGAAAAGCTTCTTTTTCCTCTAAAGACAAGGAAAAAGGCGGTAATGAGTCCTTAAAGGACTCTAGGTTAT